AAGATTTAATCAAATTGGAAAAGCCAGTATTGACTATCTTTGGAGATATTTAAAGTGAGAGGATAACCCCCAAAAATAAAAGCCTTGAAAGAAGGAGAGAAAATTGATTATTTTTAATTTTCCAAATTACAAAAATAAGATAAGTGTACAGTAGTTGGATTCTTTTTAACTGGCTATTGCAGAACTATAGGCATTTCTTAATTTCCCCATATCTATATTGCTTTTCTTAAATCTAAAGAGAAAAGGATGAATAGATTTATCAACTTCTAGGGAAAATGCAAAGAAGCAGATATAACAAAAAGCAGTTATAATAATAAGATGAATAAAAGCCAACTCTATTGACAGTTATGATCTTATCGCACTGAATATTTAATGAGCAACTTCAAGGCACGCAAGCTTTCTAACATTATAATTTTTCTTTTTGTATATCTGAACCCCAGTGAAGGCCTCTTTTCTCAAGTACCGCACTGATGGGTAAGAGAGTCTTCAAACCTCCTTCCCCACGCTCTACCATGTATTTAAAGAGCGCTTAAAAGAAGACTAACCACAACAGATGAGTTATTTCCTAAAGTGCACTATTTATTGCGCCAACTGCTGTGCTCCGTGTGTTTGAATGGGGATTTCTGCTGGAGGGGGAAGGGGGGTGCCTGGTGCCTGTCTCCCTCACTCTGGGCACGGCTCGCTTCTTGATGTTCTGGGGCTCCCAGTGGAGACTCACAGTCATGCAGGAAAGACTGCGGTGGGAGAAAGACCACGACTGCTCAATACTCCCTGCCTTGGAAAACAAACTCCGCTCTGCTTCCAAAAATGAATCCTTTTTGCAGATCCCCAAACCTCCCATATCCAAACAACGCTGTGGCTTGCACTGTGCTCTCCCACCACACTCACACAAACATACGTCACCCCAGTGATGATGACTTCTACTTGGACGTGAAGCCACTGTTGCACTGCTAACCGAAAAAACACAGCTTGTGATGATGGACAGCATCTCATCCCACCGGTTCCCTATCGTCCCCTCTCTTCATAAATGCCACACTGTTTGCCTTACATGACCTGAGAGGGACCACAGATTTTGTTCTTCAAGCACTATTTCAGAGTCCTACTTTACAAAGGCAAATTCTTTAGCAGAGAGTAATGCAAAGGAGTGGAAATATTTATCATTAAAAAAAGGATAGACAGCAGGAACCATTCCCTGAGATGCAGCAGGAGGAGGGCCTGTTCCTGACTACGTATCACTACCCATCGCCTATATATTATATATATAAAACTGTGTGTGATCGGGCACCAAACACTCAAGGAGCAGCCAGTAGGCAACGTGATTATATTTTTCAGGCTTAGATATGCAGAGAAGTACGTTTTACTATCACACAGCATATGATACTAAAAAATTGGCACTTGTGTGGCTTCAGCATTAAAACGTCTGCACAGCTTTTAAAGACTCCTACAGTGCCTATTTCTTTATAAATTTAAGCAGGATCACAGAGAGATTTGTTTGGCCTTTTTCACTTTAAGAGGTATGTGTTCCAAATCGCTTCCCCCACATTTTCTCTAAATATTAAAATCTGACATTATTTCACTGTAAAAGCCTGCCCATTTTTCTGCAAACACAAACAGTTTAGACAAGCACTTTTAATGGCTATTTTATTTTCCTTTTTGAGAGGTACTGGATTATTACTGACTTTCGCAGTAAAAAAACAATGTGCCCCCATTAACTAGTAAAGCATACACATTAAATCTTTAATTGCTATTTTGGTAAAGAAGCTAACATGCATTATTGAGGATTTCGTACCTTCAGCTTTGCCTTTCTTTCCCGAAGCTCCCTGCCACTGTATTAAGCGCAAGAGCAGACTAAACGTGCCACCTGGAAACATTTCTCTCCTGAACAAGGTCACATTTGGACTAGATGGATTTTCACTTTTGCCACACCTGAACAGGCACAAGTGAATGATGGACAAGAAAAATCTTTGAGTGTCCGCATTTGTCTTGGGACTCCTGTTAGCTCCCCACAGCATGAATGCCACCACACTTACTCAATGGCTCAGGTAAGCTTCTTCCTTCTTTTAAGCTCCCTTTGCCTCAAAGAAACCTAAAGTTTTTCTAAGATGCAACATTCACTTTATCTCTGAGGCCCAAAGAGGACAGTGCTCCCTGAAGAGTAAAAATCAAAAATGTATCCATGCAAAACCAGAACAGCTAAGTCTTTGGTCCGCTTTGTTTTCAGTAACATTTTAACATCAATGTACAAATGGAGGGTGGAAATAAAACAAAATCTTCAAGGCAGTGGGAAAAAGTATTCCTGGCTCCACTCTTAATTTGACCATGAAAACAACAATATTCAAAACATCTGCAGGAGTCCACAGGACAGGCTGCCAAAGCGCAAACCCCTGCCAGACAATGGCATTCACGTCATGACTCCAGTGAGAAGTTTCATCTCTGGATAAAGCATTTTAGATGCAGCTTATGGGCAACAGCTACCACCGTGGCTTATCTGAATCTACCTCCTCGATATCCCTTTAGCTGGAGAAAGGAGATGGAACTCCAAAGGGCAGAGGGAAAAGGCCAGATGTTTCACCAGTCTCTAGCAACTCTGTGTTACAAAGACCTATTTCAGAGAGATTTACCTTCAGGAGGAGTTTCTCAAGAGGTCGAGCATAGAAATGAAGCTGCTTTGTGCTGTGCCCAACCAGCAAAGTGAATGAGATCTCCGCCTTTCTGTAGGTGACCCCTACAAGACATATGCGCTCCAGTCACAAGCATCTATCAGACAGCACCAGGAACATACACACCGAACTGGATACACATCAAAACATGCTGAACTCCTATGATTATGGCTTATTTTTAGGAAAAATGTGACCTCAGCGAGTTGTAAACATCAGGTATGGACTTCTTATGTTTGGTTATTTGAACACGGCATCTCCCTACATATTCATTTACTCTCTTGGAGAAGCAAGCTAGAGTGGAGAACTAAGAGGATCACCTTTATCCTTATATTAAATCCCCTTTCCGAAACACAACATTGCACAAGACGGAACGTGCCAGAGTCTTTCACAGGTCTCTCTTTCCTGCCTCACTCCTGGCACCACAGCCAAGACTTTCTGAAGAAAAGCAGAGAGGAATTAACAATTAAAGACTAATAAAAACTGTTTCCAAAACACTCACCACAGCACCCTGCATTTCAGAGGAACAGCACCATACATCTTTGTACCGTCACAAGGAGGCAGCAAATACCCACAAAAGCTATACAATCACCAAGGAAATATCTTTTCCCCCTTGCACTACCTCCCCCTTGGCAGCACTCGGGGAGGAATAAAAGGCAGAGCTCCTGCTGGCTGGGCTGCAGTCCATCACATGCTGGAAAAGCCCCGGAGGTAGAGTGAAGTCAAGATCTGTCTGCTGGGTTTACTCAGCCTAAACCATCCTGAAATAAGTTAAACAGACCTGTCTTCACATCGGTAGCTTTAAAGATGACTTTTTTTCCCTACCTTCTCTTGGAAAGCAACTGTGTAAATATGGAAGCAGCGGAAAGAAACAGCTGCGTGGAACGAGAGCCGTGTTGGAAAATGATTTGGAGTCAAAGACTAGGGTTGGCAGAGTCCTAGTCAAATGCCGCGCTCTGCCCTGCTTTCTCCTGAACAGCCTCAGCGATCTTCTCTGCCAGCTACAAATATCCACACATTTCCAAATGGCTTTAAAAATAAACCTTTGCTGCAGTACTTGCTTAACGTTCTCCTTCTGTTTCTTTCTCCTCCAAAAAGAATAGCCTACCAAAAAAGCCTCCTTCATCTCTGAAATCCAGTGTTCACTCAAGTCTTCTCTCTATGCCTCCTCCCATCTCAAACACTTTTGTACCTTTTCTCCTCATTCATATCTCTGAAAAGAAGGTAAAGGGGACAGAAACGTTCTTGGACTTGTAACATCCCAGCACAGTCTGTACTCAGTCCTGCAAATGTCACATACAGGTGAAGCAGCTCATCCAGTAGCTGCACCTGAACTATCAGCTGTTGGATTCCCATTTTTCTAAGGCCAGTGATGAGTCCAGTTAGAGAGCAGTTCAATTTTTGCAACAGAAAAAGAGGAAACCAGAAAACCCATATGTAAAACCAGACTGGAAGGAAAAAGAGCAATCTAGAGACATCAAACACCCCTGGAGACTTTTCATCCCAGGGGAAACTGGAACATGACTCCTCATTTGGGTCATGTTCTACCAAATGCAGCTTTCGTTGGCCTATACAAGTTACAAAAGTTTATGCTTATGCAGTATATATATTGTAATACAGGGAGATACTATATTTACATTTTATGGACAATATTCTATTTGATACATAGCTTAAGTAATTCTTAATTATTTATTAGATTATTTAAGTACAATAAATGAGCAACATGGTTATAAGTAATCTCCCCTCAGTTAGCCTCAACACATGATTAATTGTTAGTTGATAAGCCTTTGGTGCTCTTTATACTACAGGGTATTCCCACCGTGACACAAAAATCTGAACTTAAAACACCCTGACCGGTTTTATTCTGTACTCTAAGCTCTTCTTCATAGCAGAGAGGATATTCTCTCCACTCCAGGTATCCTTAAAGCTCTTCAAACAAGTACACTTTCATTTCTAAATGGCTGGAAAACTTCATCAGCACTTTGATATGATGCATTCTCACGAGGAAAGAAGAAAATCCATCTGGTATATTACAGCCCAATTATTTAACTTTCCTACAATGTTTA